AACATTTCCCATTGGTGCAGACAGGTGTTTGGTCGGGAGGGGGGCACTGAGCTCCCCAACCGTGCCTAAGGGGTTGTGGCGCCGGCGCCCCGCCTCGCGCACCGCCCACCCCACCCGGCCGCGCGGCGCGGACCTTGAAGAGGCCTGCTGCTGGCCCCTGCCGCTGCTCCCGCTACCACCACCTCAGCTCATCACACGTCTAATGGGGAATGACAAACGAGCACTCCACGTGCACCTCGCAAGTGAGGCGCGGTGGGATATAAAAACAAAACGGCGGCTAACAGTGAGAGCGGGGAAACATCAGCGAGGAGCAGCAGGCGCGCCAGCGCGACGCGACGCGACGCTCTATGGCGCCTACAGCTGCTGGTGCGTCGGAACAGGGTTACAGCTTACAGCACAGCAGGTCAGGAGGCCATAATGTGGCCACGGATAGGTTACAGGATATAAAAGGGGTCTGTGGTGGCCAACGACGGGTTTACAGAACAGCAGGCGACAGGTCTCCGGCGTGGTGCCACCAATAAACACCCGCGCCACGCCCAGGGACTAGCAATCTGAGAGGTTGGAGATAACAAAATAAAAGTGACAGCAGTGTCGCAGCAGGATCAGCTCCAATCAGATTCGGGTCCGCGACTTTGTAACCGGTAGGTGACCGTCTCCCAAGGACCCTGCTATCATAGTTGGGCAAGGGGGGGAAGACGGAGGGGGAGGGAGGTTGGAGGGTCCGTCGCGGCCCGTCCAGTCCACAACACCGCCCATAATAGCCGACGACCCCGCCGGCCCGGACTAGACCCGGACTCACGACGGCCGGACTGCAAATTGCTGCAAATCAGCTAATGCAGATGGCACAGTCGCCGCGCACTCCGACCAAAATGAACATATAACCGAGAAGTGGATGCGCACGTCACAATCCTCGCAGCATGCATGTTGTTATGGTTGCATAACAAGCAGCGGCGCTCGCCGTCTCCACGCGAAGTGTAACAGCACACGCCCACACAGGCACAACAGCACACACCTAGCCGTGACCTTGAGGCACAATTCCTGTTTCTGTTACAGAGCGCTCGCCGCGCCCGCACGTTGCGTGCGGAGCGGGGCGCGCCCGCGGTCGCGTCTGCTATCCGCAGATCGAAAAACAAATCGTATTTCAAGTTGGCGATGCTCTCCTAGCTCTCCCCTTCGCGGTTGTGGCGACGGGGCGCCCGCTGCGCGCGGAAAGGAGAGCCAC